GGGCTCTGTGCTCTGCAGGGAGCCTGCTTCCACCTCTCTCTATCTGTCTGCTTCTCTGCCTACTTGTGATCTCTGTCTGTCAAATAAATAAATAAAATCTTAAAAAAAAAAAAAAAAGAAAAGTAGAACTTGGAGCACCTGGGTGGCTCAGGCAGTTAAGCATCCGACTTCAGCTCAGGTCATGATCCTGGGATCCTCTGATCAGGCCTCACCTCAGGTGAGGTGATCAGTGGGGAGTCTACATCTCCCTCTGCCCCTACCCTGCCCATATGCACATAGGCACTCCCTCTCTCTCTCTCAAATAAATAAAAAAAAATCTTTTTAAAAAAAGTAGGACCTGGTTTCTAGAAAAGATGGCCCACTGAAGAAATGTTTTGCTAAAAATCAGAGGTTGAGGATAGAAACTGAAGAGCTAAACTCCATCCTAATAAAAATTAACTGTTCCAAATCTGGAAGAAGTCATGCTGTACACTAGTACAGCCTGACAGGAGATGTATTTAAATGGAGAGAGAAAAGAACTGAAACAGATTCAGTAATAGTCTTCTACCCTAAGATTCTTTTATTGCCATCTTGAGGATGGCATTTCAGAGAAGCATCTGTTCCTTAGTATCTACTTATTTATATAGTTCCTGCTTTTGCAAAAAGCTACATAAGTGTGTGTGTGTGTGTGTGTGTGTGTGTGTGTGTGTGTGTGTTTAAAGGGTGGGGTACATCTGGCTGTCTTTCAAATCAGTGGTATAGGGGTGCCTGGGTGGCTCAGTGGGTTAAAGCCTCTGCCTTCAGCTCAGGTCATGATCCCAGGGTTCTGGGATCGAGCCCCGCATCGGGATCTCTGCTCAGCAGGGAGCCTGCTTCCCCCTCCCTCTCTCTCTGCCTGCCTCTCTGCCTACCTGTGATCTCTGTCTGTCAAATAAATAAATAAAATCTTAAAAAAAAAAGAAAAATCAGTGGTATAAGTAAGAGTCACAACTGAGTATGTGTGCATCTCCTATAAATGCGGGAGAGCAGCTAAGTAAACCCAGGAAAGAGGATATAGAAGTGGATTTATATATATTAATAAAGAATCTCTGATTACTTAAATGGAGGCTGCATACTCTATATGCATAGTTAAATCTTGAAAGGTTATAGGGTACTTCATATATCATTCATAAGGTTGACTAAAAATTGCAGAAATACTATAAAGAGAAAAATGTTTTAAAAGGGAGGTGGGGGGGCGCCTGGGTGGCTCAGTGGGTTAAAGCCTCTGCCTTCAGCTCAGGTCATCATCAGGTCCTGAGATCGAGCCCCGAATCAGGCGCTCTGCTCCTTGAGAGCCTGCTTCCTCCTCTCTCTCTGCCTGCCTCTCTGCCTACTTGTGATCTCTGTATGTCAAATAAATAAATAAAATCATAACAAAAAAAAAGGGGGGGGAGGTGGGGCAGGGGGCACCTGGGCGGCTCAGATGGTTAAGCATCTGCCTTTGGCTCAGGTCATGATCGCCAGGTCCTGGGATTGAGCCCTGCATCGGGCTCCCAGCTCACGGGGGAGTCTACTTCTCTTTCTCTGCTTCTCTCTCTCTCTGTCTCTCCCCCTCCTTGTGCTCTCTCTCTCAAATGAATAAATAAAATCATTAAAAATAAAATATTTTTAAAAAATAAATAAAAGGGGAGGAGGGGGTAGGTGTAACTACTATTCACATCAGAAGGAGTTCACAATATTTGATAGCAACAGTCTATACCATATACAAGACTCACTCATGGTTCCACTCTTCACAACATTAAGGATTTAATTCAAACATATTTTCAAATACTCAGAAGTAGTGTTTAGAAAAGATAAAGCAGTGTACCATACTGGTGATATTGTCTTAAGGGCATTGGTGAGAAGTTAGCAACAGCACAGAGGTCTTCTGTTTTTCTGACCTTGACTCTTAAATATTTAATGATACTGACTTCAGAATAAAAAAACTGGTCATGAAGTACCTTGTAATATTAATAAAAGAGGACTGGAATCTACTGCCACTAATGCTATATAATTAAAAGTTTAGAACTCTCGTGAGAACTTTGGTTGTTGATGCCTTAGGTTTACATTAACTTCATTTTTTACACTTCACAAAAAAGCACTTGAACCATAAAAATAAAAGTCTACAAAGGATCTGCTGACAAATAGTCTTTCTCTTTTCCTTTCAACAATTTTGCTACCCTGAATTTTTAATTTCCTTTTAAATAAAATATTCTTATGTGGGATTTTAAAAATTAAAAACTCAACTAAATATCGCTTATACATCTTTTCTCCTCACTGGAGAAACTAAAAATCATGATACGTGAGTGAGAAACTCTTAAATAAAAAGAGTTTTACTCTACTACCATCTTAAGGATGAATCTACTGGGGCGCCTGGGTGGCTCAGTGGGTTAAAGCCTCTGCCTTTGGCTAGGGTCATGGTCCCAGGGTCCTGGGATCAAGCCCCGAATCGGGCTCTCTGCTCAGCAGGGAGCCTGCTTCCCTGCCTCTCTCTGTCAAATAAATAAATAAAATCTTAAAAAAAAAAGATGAATCTACTAATAGAAAAAAAAAATCAGCATCCTTACTTCCTACTCATCACAACTCTTACCTCAATATTTGTATTTAAAAATAACTCAGGGCTCCTGGGTAGCTCAGTGGGTTAAAGCCTCTGCTGTCAGTTTGGGTCATGATCCCAGGGTCCTGGGATTGAGCCCCGCATCGGGTTCTCTGCTCAGGGGGGAGCCTGCTTCCTCCTCTCTCTCTCTCAGCCTGCCTCTCCACCTACTTGTGATCTCTGTCAAATGAATAAATAAAATCTTAAAATAAAAAAAAAATAAAAATAACTCAAAACTAGAGGACTATTCTCCAATATAAGAGACTAAACAAAGATAATACCCAAATGTGACATGAGACCTATAACTGAATTCCAGTTCACACACAAAAGTAAAAAAATCACCAAAAAAACCCAAAACAAAACAAATCAACAACAAAAGGCCATCTCTGAACAACTAGGGAAGTGTGAATGCCTACTGGAGATCAGGTGAGATTATGGCACTCCTATTAATTTTCTTAGGTGTAATACTCGTACAATGGTTATGAAGGAAAATGTGCCTGAGCTTCAGAGATGCAAACTGAAGGGTCTTGGGATAAAGTGTCATGATGTCTACAACCAGCTTTCAGATGACCAGGTAAAAAGATCCTCCCCTCAGATGCATAAACACACACATATAAAATACAGATGGCAAATTCCCTTTTGAGCTTATCCTTTTTGACCGTCATCTTGAATATGGCCATTTCACTTAAAAGTAGCCACTGTGGTTACGTCTACAGAAAAGAGTTTAACCCAAATATAAAATTATTGCTTGAAGAACTAGAAGCACAAAGAATTATGGAAATTAACCGTGATGTTTATGTGTATGCAAGCGCACATGTGTACCAAGACTATCCAAAGGTCATATGACCACCTGACTCATCTAGAAAGCCTGACTTCAAACTCAAAGAACTACTTAACTGCTTTCATAGTTACCCATTTCATAGCAAGCATCAACTCCAACAACTCTCAATAACTCCCAAGAAAGGCTTTATCAAGCCACAGCTAAAACATTTCTGGATCAAACTTAAGGCATTTAAAACCCTTATTAGTAACCTAGGCCAGTGTAAAAGTCCTTGGTGAACCACTTCTTATGGAAGACTATTTACGCAAAAAGGCCAAAATTGAAGTCTGTACTCAAAGACTATGTGTTAAAATAACTACTTTTTAATGAATAAGAAGTAATCTCCAAAAGCACCTCAGCTAAATTCTTGAGCTAAATCTCCCCAGTAGGATACTTAAAAAACAAATGTAGATCACATCAAACCAGCATACTTGCCTCTCTTTCAGCTTCTTTCAATATGGCTTCTTTCTCCTTTACTCGCTGCACAAACATCTGCTTCATTTCTTCTTCCTTCCTCTGACGTTCTCCATAAAATTCATGTCTTTTAGCTTCATAGGTCTCTTGAAGACTAAAAAGTTATTTGTGGTACTCTCATGTTAAAAAATGATGTAGGAAACTTCCAAACACTCAAACTTCTCCGGTTAAGCCTTATACTATAATAACAATTACCAATCCCCTCTTATACAGAGTAACCTGAAACATGACATTTCCTACAGCATGAAACATAAAAAGCCACAGATGCCACAGCTACAGAATACCAGATTTCTGAAATCTCTGATTTATCAAGTCCTTCTCAAGAAGTATTCTCATATTACCCCAAATGAATTCCTCTTTCAGTCTTAATTAGCAACACTGTCTTTGGAAACCTTGAAGTCTTGAAGTCATTCTTGACTATTCCCTTACCTTATCTCTGTAGCTGATCACCAAGGTCTGAGAGTTCAGTCTGTGACCCTGACATCATTTTAATCCCATCTTCTGATTTCTACAGATATTGTTACAGCCCAACTCAAACTTGGTGATTTTTTGGCCTTCACTATTATAAATTAATATCCTAACTGATCTCTGGGCTTTTAGTTCCCCTTTCTTTCACTTTCTTACTTCTTGCCACTCCTAAGATTTTCCAGAAAAATGCACAGACCTCATTATCTTTTTTTCCACAGCATTAGTTATCTATAGAATATGGTACCACCTCTTTTGAATAGCACTTAAGAAACTTTTGAATCTGGTCTAATTCTGCCTTTCCAGATTCGTCTCTTACCAAACAAATCCAATCCTCCTAAGGTGCCAGCCATACCAACCTAGTCATTGTTCCTAAAACCACAGATTTCATGCTTTAGCTTGTGTAACTCCTGTGCTTCCAACACTAATGCCCACCTGCCAACCCCCATTCTACCCACCTAATCCTTTACTCCTCAAGTCCAATTTCAAATGCAACTTCCTTCTGGGTGGTTCAGATGGTTAAGCATCTGCTTTTGGCTCAGGTCATGATCCCAGAGTCCTGGGATGGAGCCCCACATTCAGCTCCCTTCTCCCTCTGCAAGTCCCCCTGGTTATGCTTGCTCTCCCTTTCTGACAAATAAAAAAAATAACGTCTTAAAAAGAAAAAAAAAAAAAAAAAAGCCTTCTCTGGTATCCCCAGTTGGAACTAACTATGCCTTCTAAGCACTCTCATGGCACTTCGTACCTCTTCTTTGGCATTTATATCCTATCTGTCTCTCTCTTCTAATAGATCATTATCTCTGTAACCTGACTACCCAGCAAAGCTCTCTAGACACATCAGGGTCTTCATAAATGTTCATTTAATGACAGAAATTGCCAGGAAGTAGAGCTAGATTTAACCAAGCAGAGCAAGGACTGTCCTGGAACACTATGCCCAACTGCCCTTTCTTACTTACAGCATCCAGAGGTATCACAGACTTCTTATATATGTCAGACACCAAGCCCTTCCATTTTAACACACTATGAGACTATCCCAAAGATTTAACAGGGAACACAAATGTGCCTTCCAACTGTTTTACAGTAAGAAATTTCTACTGCTTACAGAAGTACTTTATATCTAAATAGACATAAGTATGATGAATTAAGGAATTTTACAGTCTTAAATAAGGTGCCACCTCCTTTAAATAGCACTTAAGGAACTTCACAATCTGGCCTAATTCTACCCTTCCAGATTCATCTCTTACCAAACAAATCTAATCCTCCTAAGGTTCCAGACATACCAACCTAGTCACTGTTCCAATAACTGGAAAAATAAATCTTCTAAGTACAGAATTCTAGAAGTAAAAGGAGAATTAGAGTAAGAAATGTTATGCAACAGCTATTATGGCCGACTGTGCGGGGTATGTGTAGCAGGTGTTTTGAAGAGGCAAAGATCCTAAACATTATCTTTAAAAGCAAAATGTACAAACTGCCCTAGATAACCACATTAATGCCCCAGATCTTAAGGAAACATTTACCAGGCTTTTTATTTTTCTATGTTTGTTTTGTTCTTATTTTAAAGAAGCCTCTATATCAGGCTACTTTCATCGTTTTCAGAAACCTCACTACAATTCATTGATCCTACACTGGACTGATAGTCTTTAATGACAAACGACTTAAATAATGTTTTGAATTCGTACCAAATGTAAGTTTAAAAAAGTTCTCATTATCTGTGTATATAAACACTTGAGTTGGTTAAAAGGAAAATAAATCTACCTGGCAAAGAGAAAAGACCTAATATTTGTTGAATAGCTGCTCCCAACAAGATACCTTCCTGGAATCCTTTATCTACCTAATTCCCATAGCACCCCAAGCAGAACAAGTACTAATACTCTGTTTTACAGATAAGAAAACTAAAGCTCAGAGAGGTAAAGTAATCAAAGCAATATAGTTGTAAGTAAAAAGCTAGAATTTGAACCAGGTCAGATTTTTGTTTTATCAAAAGATTAAAGGGGCACCTGGGTGGCTCAGTGGCTCTGTCTTCAGCTCAGGTCATGATCCCAGGGGTCCTGGGATTGAGCCCTGCATCTGGCTCTCTGCTCATCAGGAAGCCTGCTTCCCCCTCTCTCTCTCTCTGCCTGCCTCTCTGCCTACTTGTGATTTCTGTCTGTCAAATAAACAAATAAAATCTTAAAAAAAAAAAAAAAGATTAAAAAATCATGTTACTTCTCCTGCATATTTTCTGTCATGTCACAAGGTTTTTCAGTTTGACAACCAGAAGTAAATTTTAAGTAAAATCAATTCTAAGTAAAGAAACCTGCACTATCTTTCAAAAGGTGGTAAAGAAACTCCTAGAAGATCTGTAAGGGAACAATTTACATAGTGTTATAAAACTAATGCAACTACTATTTACTATTATGGATTTATTCATTAAACGAAAATGAAAAAGTTTTTTTTGCTATTTTAGTAAAAATTCTTGCTTTTTTAAGTATAAAATTAGCTTAATATTCAATGAAACATTACTATACTTGCAAATATCACTGATTTAAAGCAAAGTTTAAAACCAAAGAGGAAGAAAAAAAATTCTCAAATGCTCATATTCATCAAGAAAATCACTACAGTCCCTTCACTTAGGACTTGTGTTTTATATCCTGTTCTAAAAAGCCTGCTAACCTTTTTCCATTTCGGCTCTAGACTAAATGCAGAAAGTTATTTATTTCTTGAGAGTTCCAAAGACACAAATTTTACAACACAAAAAAATTAAGTCAAACACTTAACTCTAAAATACTACAAGAATCTTCCTTTCAAAACTACAGGTCCCTCAACACTTCAAAAGGCAGTGATTTTGTACTTAAATGTTAAAGATGATTAACTGTGGGAATGAAAATGGTTATGTTAATCTAAAATAACTTAGGGATTTAAGAAAGTTTTTAACCATTTCTGATCTAGCTTTAATAATTAAAGATCAGTTAATTAAGGTTAGAGGAGAGTATAATGCCATTTACTGGGACCTCATGATAAACACATGAGTAGTATTGAGAGATTAGGACAATAACTATGACTCAGCATAACTGTTCACAATAAAATGGAAATGGAAAACAAGCTGAAGGTCTGGCAATAAAGAAGACTGGGTAGTAAAGAGAATTAAAAGTCATCCCAACAAGTTTATATAACTGTTTTTTTAATTGATAGATGTAATATTGAGGGATGAACTTTCAACCAAATCAGAGTGACTACTATTAGGTATACCCCAAATTAAATGGAAAATATTGCCCAGAAAACAGAATACAACTTCTTGAAACTGTAGAACCTTCCTAAGACATCAAGCTATAAGGAACTACAGAAGCTTTACCAAATAATTTATTTGCAAATAAAACACCAAGAGAAGAAACATTCTGCCGTGCCTGACTCAAGAAATCCAGTAAGAAATGTCTTCTCTCTTAAGGAGAGCAGCCTAGGAAGGGCAGAAGATGCAGGCAGGCAGAGGCCTCCCTTACACTAAGATCTAGTTCCCCATCCTTTCTTGCTTGTTCCCTACCCAATCTATTACCTAGTATAAATTGAAGAATCTCCATTTTCCAATTTTCCATTCTTCATTTGATCAGTGAGCAGATGTTCCCCAAACTAAAGAAATGCTTTAAAAAACACGGATGTTCCAAGCAGTCTTTGATTCTGAATGTCCACCATCTACCTATACCTCCTTTTGGTATTGTTAGCCTGATTAATTTTGGAGAGCTACCTCTTCCCCCTGGGGATATAGTCTGGTGGGACAATTAATTAGATTCATGCCCACTCTGGCCAAAACAAAAAGGGTACATGTCCTAAGCCAGGCATACTGGACTAGGCTGTAAATTGTCAAGAAGAAACCAAAAAAGGCTGGAAATGGTTTCAGTTCATTCACTCCACTCCCAGCACAGAATGAAACTGGTTTCTACCTGTTCTAAGGCTTCCCTTTGAATCTGTAATTCTTGGTTGATGTAGTCTTTCATAGAACTTATTGCCCTTTTTGTTTTAGAGGAGTGGTCTTCATTATTTTCAAAGAGCTGTAAAGGAAGCAACTGGATTTTATTACACTGCTGTACTTCTTTTTTTTTTTTTTTTAAAGATTTTATTTATTTATTTGACAGAGAGAGATCACAAGTAGACAGAGGCAGGCAGAGAGAGGGAGGGAAGCAGGCTCCCTGCTGAGCAGAGAGCCCGATGCGGGACTCGATCCCAGGAACCTGAGATCATGACCTGAGCCGAAGGCAGCGGCTTAACCCACTGAGCCACCCAGGCGCCCCTACACTGCTGTACTTCTATAGCAAGAACTTGATCCTCAGCTTCAACAAAGCTGACTTCTCCCTGAAACCTTCTTGACTTGGCTTCCAAGACATGACACTGCTGGCTTACTTCCTTCCTCTACCCAAGACTTCTCAATCTTTTCTATCTACTTCTCCAGCCGACAAATATTAGAGTGACTCAAGTCTGTTTCCAAGGCACCTTTCTTTTCAGACACTACTTCTCTCTCTAGGTAATCTCATCCCTATTCATACATTGTTAGCCATCTAAATGCTGATGACTCTTAAGTTTATTACTTTGACCCAGCCCTCTCCCCTGAGCTCCAGAAAAATACCCAAAGTGGAACACTGTCACTTGTATGTTCCAGAGGAAACTCAAGTCAGCAGGTCCCAAACCAAGCTTATGCTCCATCATGCCCATCACTGCAGCTCCACAAAAAAGCCAGTCCTTCCAGAGATAACCTGTCTCGGGGAAAAGTACAACCATCTACCTAGCCAATGAAACCATAATACCAGGAAACTAGAAGCCTTTTTTTTTTTTTAAAAAGCAGCATCTTCTGGCATTTCCTGCTTCTTTACCTCATTATATCCAAACAGTCACTAAGTTCTTTCAATTTCATCTTCTAGATATGTCTCAAACACATCTAGTTCTATTTTTACCACTTTTACTTCAGTCCAAGCAATACTCTCCCATTGGTCTCTCCTAAGCATCTCTGCATACTACTTTAATACTTTCTTTGCATTATAGCTAAAAGTGATTTTTCAAATGTAAATATGGTAATGATAACTCCTTGAATGGTTTTGCCTTTCCCTTGGAAAAAAAAAAAAGCACAAATCCCAACCAGGTGATCCACAGTTTGATTACTGCCTGCCTGTTCTCTCAATCTTATGCCCCCAACTTCTCTGCTCTCTAGCTGCGCTGACCTTCTTAAAGAGCTCTGAAGATGTCATTCTCTCTCTGCTTGCAGTCTTTTCATGTCTTGCTCTGATTTCCCCAAATTATTAGCTCAAAACAGTAACTGCCTCAAGAAAATCTTCTCTGATTTTCCAGATTAAGTCAGGAAACCCTCCCCTACTACATACCATCTCTCCTTTAGCGGACATTTCACAACTGTGATTAATTGTGCAATTTGATTTTGGCCTCCCCAATAAGAATGTAAACTCCATGATAGCCAGGTCTATAGGCTCTTCCTCAGTATTATATCCCCAGCACTTAGCCTAGAGCTTTGCAAATAGCAGACACTTTTAAAATGTTTATGATTTGGGGGCACCTGGGTGGCTCAGGTCATGATGCCAGGAGCCTGGGATGGAATACCTCATCAGGCTCCCTGCACAGTGGAGAGCCTGCTTCTCCCTCTCCCTCTGCCATTCCCCCTGCTTGTGCTCTCTGGCTCTATCTCTGTTAAATAAAGTCTTTTAAAAAATAAAATAAAAGTTTATGATTTTTCATATTACTATTTACTGCTGACTCCCAAATTATTATCTCAGCCTTAACTTCTCCCTAAGTGCCAGATTCATTTATGTAATAACGTACTGAAACTCTTCACTGGAATATTTATTTTATAAAAGCTTTATTTATTTTAGAGAGAGACAGAGAACACATGTACATGTATGAGTGGGCAGAGGAATAGAATGCTCAAAACAGACTCCCTGCGGAGTGTGAAGCCCAATGCAGAGCTCCATCCCACAATCCATGAGATCATGACATGAGCTGAAACCAAGAGCTGAATGTTTAACCCACCAAGCCAACCAGGTGCCTCTTCACTGGCATATTTAATAAGCAACTTAAATTTAACATGTCTGAAACCTCTCAATTATTAACCATAACCCCTAAAATCTATCCCTTCCCCAGTCTTGCTCATATCAGTAAATATTACCACCATTTAGCCAAATTCAGGTCATTTCTCAATGACTAGAGTCATCCTTGATTCCTCTGTCCTCTTACAGCCCATATCCAAACCATCAATGAGTCCTATGAACTTTACCTTCAAATTACATGTCCTAAATGTGCTTCTGACCACCTCTACACTACCAAGTCTCTATGGTCTCACCAGGACTACTGTGTGAGCACCCCGACTCTATTTTCCACAAAGGGCCAGAGGGTCCTCCTCCCACCTCCATCCCAGAAATTCTGTAAGGCAGTTTCTGTTTAAGCCCACAGTGCTTACATACCCACTGACCAGCAGTGTGTGAAAGCATATGGGAGACAAACAGCAAGTATCTTTTAAATGAGTGAATGGAAATTTTAACTTAAATGCAGACTCTTAGGGCGCCTGGGTGGCTCAGCGGGTTAAGCCACTGCCTTCGGCTCAGGTCATGATCTCAGGGTCCTGGGATCGAGTCCTGCATCGGGCTCTCTGCTCAGCAGGGAGCTTGCTTCCCTCTCTCTCTCTCTCTCTGCCTGCCTCTCCGTCTACTTGTGATCTCTCTCTGTCAAATAAATAAATAAAATCTTAAAAAAAAATGCAGACTCTTAGGCTCTATCCATAGAAATTCTGAACCTGCATTTCTTAATCTTCCATAGATGCCTGATGACTGACCCACCAGGCAACCTGAATCCCTCTTCTCAGAGTACTTCAAAGGCTGTCCCACTTCTTGCTCTCACTCAGTATTCGTGTCTTACTAATGTACACTGAGACCTCTGAATTGCCCCTTAGACTTGAAAGAATGAGACATGAAGCCTCCTCTGGAAAACACTAGTGAAGCCAAATCTTCAATAGAGAAAATGGTTTTATCAGAAGTGGCCTATAGGGGTGCCTGGGTGGCTCAGTGGGTTAAAGACTCTGCCTTCAGCTCAGGTCATGATCCCAGGGTCCTGGGATGGAGCCCCGCATCGGGCTCTCTGCTCAGCGGGGAACCTGCTTCCTCCTCTCTCTCTGCCTGCCTCTCTACCTACTTGTGATCTCTGTCAAATAAATAAATAAATAAAAATTAAAAAAAAAAAAAAAAAGAAGAAGTGGCCTATAATCAAAAGCACAGCATGCCCGAAATTGGTGAGGAGGGGTTAAGTATATATAATTCTTTTTTATCATACTACTAGATTTATCATGATGATATATGTCATAATTTATCATACTACTAGAGCTAAAAAAAAACCTAATTAAAACCATAGATTAAAAACTTAAAAAATTTAACCTCATCTACGATTAAATCTTTCTAAAGGTCAGATGCAATCGCATCACTGATATAATGTTCTCCTTCTCCTTATTGTGTTTACTCTAGTACAAATACTAAGAGTCAGGGAAATGACCAAAATGCAAATAATGAAATGGAAAAGAAATCCTTAGTTCCATAACAGAGTTTTAAATTTAGAGTGTTTTTTCCTGAAGATTCCCTACTTTCCTCCATGCAAAAAACCTATTCTGGAATGCTACATCGTATCAAATCTGATGTAGTAGGTAAGGATTAGAGTTTCATGTTTACTTATCTTAATAAAAACAAGTCAGGAATGTAAAGCCACATAAAATTACCAGCAAGTTTATAACACTGAATGCTGTAATTACTGAACAAGAAGGTCATCAGGCTCTAAAATTCTTATAACTACCCTGGAATATTTTAAGAAACAGTTTAATCCCTGACTCCCTACAATCACTTTCATTCTTCCTTTAGAAGACATTTTCCTAAATTTAAGTCATTCCAAACTTTCATCAAGCTAAAAACCACGGGTTTTTTGGTTTAATATTATTCACATTCCAACTTTCTCTTAGAAGAACAGATAAATATACTTTTATCTTTTTCAGAAAAATACAAATATAAAACTAAATGAGAATTCTTTTCCTTTAGTTATTCATTTCAGCATGTACTGAGATCATGGGCTTCTGCCATTATGTTCTTTCTTAAACTCTTAGAATCAGATGAAATATTAGAGACCCTTCAAAGGCAAGAAGGCCTCAAGTGATCTGAGAAGCACAATAATTAATCATAAGCAAATGATTCTACTTCATGGTTGGCCAGGTTTCTGAAAACCACATTCTCCAACATCCTGGATATAAAACAAGGTACAATCCTCTATAACTTCCTCTTTGATTGGCTTCTCACAGAAATCCCGTTACCTGAGCGGCTTATTCTCTGGGCCCACATCTGTAAAGCCCATTTCCTCCAGTTTGCAACGCCTGTAAAGTTCATAATGCCTAGTGTGGGTCTGTTCTCGCAGATCTTCCATGTTTGTACAAATGAGCATTTCCCGGAGCTTTACAAAATCACAGTGGTTTTCATTTTCCACTAGCCAGAAAAACAAGAAAACAGCAACACCAATTTTTAATTCCTGGCACACAGTGCTTGGTAAATGAAAGAATCTATAAAAACACATCTGAAATAACAGTGAAATGATCAGTCTAACACCTATGATTGTTTTATGTAAGTAACCAAGGAAGAAACTCTTGCATTATACACACTGAATTATAAGCAATGTAACAGATTGGGAAACTGCTTTAAATTGAGTAGGCAATGGATAAACAGGAAAGAAATACATTATATTATGTCACCAATATGTTCCAATTATTTCACTAATATTTTGTTAGCATTTTACAAACCATCCTTAGGACATTTTACAAAGTGCTTAAAAAGACCCTGTAACATTATTTTACTAAAACTTCAAAGTAGTAATTCTACATACTCAAGATACCATCTGTACATGCTATAATTATCAAACTCTTTATATATAATGCCACATTTATGATGTTGTGTTTGACACCATTCAAAATTAGTGAATAAATATACTTAGTTCTCCTTACATGGTCCTTCTTCTAGAGTTATGGTGACTGGAAGACTACAAATAATTATGTAACTGTAACCAATAGTTTTAAGTACAGTTACTACTCTTATATTTTTATAAATTAAAAATGTTAAGTTTTGTCAATATCTCTTAATTACAAATCTGTCAATTAAAAAATCAGCAGTATTAGGAAACCAGTACTAATAGGGGTAATCCATTTCCCATTAATAGCACTACAAGTAAATGAATGAACCAGATAGTACTAATTACTTATTCATTACAAGGCTAGATAAACCCTAAAATTTTTTAATTGGGTGACTCGGTTTTGGAAATAGTTGGCAATACTTTGATAATTGGAAATACATAAATGTACAAGGTGGTTTATTGTGCCTAGAATTATGTTTTAGTAATTAGTTTATGTATCATGTTTAAACACTAGTATTTATACTCAAATTCTGTTCTGTCTAGTGCTTCCCACTTTCTGAATGTCTTGGCACACCAGGTACAAAATGTGTGTGATATAATAAAGAAAATGGGAAAGCCCAGCCTCCACATACTTGGCCAAAACAGAATACATGCCACTCTTCTGATAAGCAAATCATAACCCAAAATAAGCATCACCTTAGAGAATGCACTGAATGCAACTTTCAGACTGTTAGGTGACATGCGTATTCCCAGTCATCATTCATCTCATTTACCTTGTACAACACCCCACGGGTACTGGCGAGCTTTGACCATCTTATTTCCAACTTTTACCTCATCCATACTTCCTACAACAGCAAATGGCAAATGTCCCTGGAAAGGAACCATGATACCAAATCATATCTCACATTATTATGATAAACTACTAACTAAAAAAGTTTTATGAAAGTAACAGATTAGAGAAAATGTACTAAATAGCAAAGTTATTAAAATCAAATAATCTGCTATGCCTCTGATTTTATTTATTTTAAAATTATTTTTTTAAGATTTTACTTATTTGTCAGAGAGAGGGACAGCACAAGCATGGGGAGCTGCAGGCAGAGAAAGAAGCAGGCTCCCTCTTGAGCAAGGAGCTTGATGCGGGGACTCAATCCCAGGACCCTGGGATCATGACCTGAGCAGAAGGCAGATGCTTAAACAACTGAGCCACCCAGGCATCCCTATACCTCCAATTTTAAAACTTGGCAGTGAATATGTGACAACTGTTCTATAAGAGTAAATTTCAGGCCCCATAAAGAAAATTAATCACTGAGCATTCCCCACATGCAAGGTATCATGCTATAGGAAAAAAAAAAATTCTAGTATAGGTATCATTTCCCTCAATATTATCTTTGCCCTAAAAGACAAAGACAATGTTGAGGAAATCACACACGTACACACACTTACACACACCAAATGAATAACTAAAATATATATCTATGTTTAATGTGTGCACAGATACATGGTACTAATACAAAATGGTAGTTAAGTCCCAAACTAGTACAAAAGGTACTAAAATGTTACATAAACTTAGAGGAATGAGGAATCACTGTGAGCAGGAAGATATAACCCAAACCAAAAATGGACCAAGGAGAGTAAGAACTAACTTAAGGAGAAGATTTTGAATAAATACATTATAGCTAGATTTAGAGAACAGTAGTAGAGTAGACTGGTCTGTCTGAAGGTGAGAATTAATACAGGAGAAAGGTCTAATGTTTAAGTATTAAGTATTATGTTTAATTTTTAATAACTGATACGTGTCTTAATTGTGTTTTTCTGAAAAATTATTCCAAATGGGCACAAAAAATAAAATTATATTTAAAGACAATATAACACATGGGTATTGAGATCACTTCATTTACATTAGTCAGTTTTTTATATATTTAAAGTATCTTAATGAAAAATCAGAAAAGGAAAAGGAGAAATGGCATGAACAGTTACTGAATGTCAGTTAGGCACTGAACAAAGACTAAATCCTCACAACAACCCAACTGCAGGTATTAACCCAATTTTGTAGGTAAGTTAACACTCTCAGGGAGGTTAATATCTCCCACAAGAACATATGGTTCAGTTAAAACCAATGACCCTTCAAAATATAACCAGATATTTAAGAAATTTAGTAGCCTGAAGAAAGTATCACAAAGAACTTAGCCATCTTTAGTCATATTAGATGAAAAGTTATGTGAATGTTGGGGCACCTGGGTGGCTCAGTTGGTTAAGCGACTGCCTTTGGCTCAGGTCATGATCCTGGAGTTCCAGAATCGAGTCCAACATCGGGCTCCCTGCTTGGCAGGGAGTCCGCTTCTCCAGCTGACCTCTCTCATGCTCTCTCTCATTCTCTCTCTCTCTCTCAAATAAATAAATAAAGTCTTTAAAAAAAAGAAAAGAAAAGTTATGTGAATGTTTAATATGTACATGCGATGCTGTAAGGGAGGATGAGCTTAAATACCAGATCAGAAATATGTCCTTAAAGATTTTAAAGTTCCCAAGCATTCCAAAGGAGAATAGAAAGACTTCACATGTTTTTTAAAGATAGGACAAAAGGCATCTTTCTAAGGCAATTAGTAAACATAGTGCCACAAAAGGAAAATCCCAGCCTTGCCAATGTATCATTTTATTTAGGTGAAAGTAAATATATTCTCATATATTTTTTCCAACTCTAGAAAATAAAACATTTTCCTATATTGAACTTATTGAAAATTCACCTTGTGTGAAGTCTTTTTGGAAGACACAAGTGAAAGTGTGTTAGCAGAAATGTCACTTATAAATTAGCCTTTTCAAAAAAAATAATAAAAATAAATTAGGCTTTTCACATGTAAATAAAATTAACATTCAACTAGGAGCTTACATTCATTGAAGCATTGATTTTAGCAATAGTTTCATCGTCTGTTGGAAACTGATATATCTGGACACCGCTGCTAACCAATTCACTCATGAGCTTGATCTTAAACTTCTGTAATTCAGCTTTAGAAATTGCATCTGCTTTGGCAATCACTGGTATAATGTTCACCTATCAACAATAAAAACAAATATCGTAATTGGAGATTTATTTTTTTAATTCTGTAGTTTTTCATTCAAAACCACTCAGTCTCTGACTAACTTCCCTAACCTAGATCTGGGAATGAACAAACTATGGTACAGTTCATTGTCTGTTGATATAAATTAAGATTTACTAGAGCACAGCTAGGCCCACTCATTTCCATATTATCCATAGCCACTTTCATTCTCCAACAGCAGAGATAACCAGTTACCTTAGAGACCATATGGCCTGTAAAGCCTTAAGTATTTATATTTACTCCCTGGTTCTTTACAGAAAAAGCTTGCCAACTCCTAACCTAGATAATCGCTGACTGTCACTGTCACCATATTCCCCTACACAAATCACTTCTATAGATGCTGGCCTTAATAGTAACTGCTTTTAAAAAGCAGAATTCTTACAAGATTAATCTTACATCTGAATTCAGGGTTAGAAATCTTACATTTTCTTCTCTTTCTCAAAGTCTCTTATAATTCTGTCACATACAAAATGTAAGCAGGAAGCTGAGATCACCTGCTGAATTCACTAAGTATTTTTTATTTCTTAATAATCTAAGCATTAATAATCAGGGTAACTGATCCTTCTGCAAAACTATGAAGCAGGCGAGTTTCTCCTTCTTCCTCTCATTTTGGCAGCTCCCCTTCCCAGTGAATCCATCTAATCTGTACTCTGTTGTGAGAGACTCCTACCTAGATGTTGAAGAAAGGAAATTTTATGAATACCAATTGAAAGTGTTCATGACATTCTCAGGCTTAAAGTCCTATCACTGGCCAGAAAGGAAAAACTCTGGGGTCATGAAGACTATCTTTGCAACATTAGTCCCATAAAAGATTGAGGTCTCCACAAATCTAGGGTTTGTAGGATTTTTTGTTTTTTGGTTATTTAGTTAGTTTCAGGCTAACTAGTATCAAGAGAGTGAGGTATCAATGTAATTTTCAGAATGAAAAGTAAAAATCAATTCTATTCTTAAATTTCTTGCTCTTCTACAATTCCACACTTACTGTGTATATTCAATTTATTAGTCTCATAAATATGCTCCAGAGGAAATAAAGATTTTCTCATCTACCCATGAAAACTCACCAGCAATAGTGGGTAAACAGCTTTCATGCTAAATTAGTTAAAGTGCATACAAATTTGATGCCAAGTTTTTGGATTCAATATTATATACTTAGACTGTCAATAAATTATGCCAAGTTAACATCTTATAATTACTTCCACAGTAGATAGCAAAAGCACTCTGTAATATAAGTGTCAGACATTAAGCTTTGATTGTCAAGGTGCTCATTTCAAAGACATCCATGTCGAATAAACATATTGCCAGCTGTATGACACAGCTACTAGCAAAACCGGATAAGGCACAAAGCCACCTCCACCCATAACATTTTCCTTTTAAAAAACCTGGGTGACCTGGATAACTGACCACTTGAGCATGCCCTAATCCCACTCTTATGTTTTAAATTTGCCAATAAAGAATGAACTTATGAAATCTGAGACACCCGACGCTCAACCCTAATAAAATAAAGGCAGAGCCCAGGATCACATTCAACCTCATTGTGTGGCCTTCCAGCATGCCAGGTACCCTCTAGGACCTGAAACAGACCTTGTCCTTCAAAGTTTCCTGATGGTTATCTGGCTGAAGTGTATCCCGAGATCATAGTAAGAGCCACAAGGGTTGGCCCAGTCATGACACTGGCCCTGGGGATAATGTCTGTGGGGCTTGCTATGAATAGTGTATAGTTGGGGAGTACCTCAGGCATTCCTAGCCAAGAATATCACTATAATTAGGCTGGCAGGGTACATCACAGACTGAAAGCTACACTGAAAGCTGTACATATGTTTATTTGTATATTAGGAGCAGGGAAAAAGATGTTTCACACTGATGGTAACCTGTCACTGTTTGCATAAGGTAACTTTCATTTCAAGCAGAGGAGTATTCTGCTTTTAGGAACAAAAGACAAGCTATCAATTTAATTAACACTCACATCTGCCCCCTGAAGTAGGGTATTATTCTCCTTAAATTTTTATTTTAGATGTGAGGAAACTGAAGCTCAGGAGGCTATAGAAACTTATCAAAGAACACAAAGCTATTAAGTGACACAGCCAGGATTTAAAACCAGCCTCCAATGACACCAAATTCTATGTTGTTTATACAGATTACATCATGTTGCTTCTCTCTAGCTAAGAAAAATTCGCACATTCTTGGTTTTATGTTGATTTTAAGAGTTTCTATATAATTAGACTCAACTATGAAAATACTGGATAAATGGTTATGACATCTGATCAGATAAGTAAACTACCATATAAACTTCATCAGGTTTTTGCTAAAGCCAGGGAACTGTGCAACTAGCCAAAAGTCAATCAATCACAACTTCACTGGCAGCTTTATGCTTTTCCATACTGATTTTTATATAGAAAATATTACTGGCCAGAATGCCCTTTTTCTTGAATCCTTTCTCAAAAAATCATTAGCCAGTATAATGAAAGCTGCATTTCTCACACCATCAGAGGTTATAGGAAAACTAGTTTTTTCAGTACAGATAGCAATCTTCAACCACCTTTAACATGGATTTAAAAAAAAAAAAACACCAAGTAAGTTAATTTGTAGATATTATTTTTTATAGCTCCCTGAATTTATATATCACTCTTTGGCTCAGAAATTCAAAAGCAGGTTTTTAGATGGTTCAAATTAAAACATAATTTATTATAACACATGATGAAACATTAGACCTTAATCTTTGTCAATGAACTTCTCCTCATTTAGTAGCATCATAAAATAAAATTAGTGTCAAATAAATTCTGGCATGCAATTTAATCACTTAAAAAAAGGACTAAAATTTTATGTTAATGTATTTTCTTTGCAGCTCATCTTCCAAACTGAATTTCTCTGGGAAATAACCTAACATTGAAACTTATCAAATGTTCTAAAAATGCACATAATAAAAGATAAAATATATATGTGTGTGTGTATATATATATATATATATATATATATATATATAAAATAAAGATATTTTAAAAGTTCAAAATAAATATTAAAGCATGACAAATTGAGTCCTTTTCCAAGCCCACCTTGCTGTCAAGGCTCTTCATTGTTAAGAGATCTAGTGTCTTCAGAGAGTGACCTGTCGGGGAGATGAAGTAGAGACACACGTGGATGCGAGAATCATGGTAACTAAAGAGAGAGCGCTTGATCTTCAGCTCCTCTTGGAGATAGGCCTCAAACTGAGCATCTATGTAGTCAACTATTGGTTGGTAGCTGCAAAAATAAATATTCAAGTATTTAATACAGCATATCCATATTACCTAAGTAAGATATTTACGTAATTCTAAGGTGTGAGATCTATACTTTTACCAATTAATAAATAGTTACCATCTTTGCTAAACAGAGAACTTTAATAATAAAACAAATTGCACAGAATATGCATGTACAAAGGTAGAACTTTAAAACCATCAGTACAACCTGTGCTTTAAACTGCTTTATAGAAACTGAATGAAGGTACATGGACTCATTCTCACATTCATTCACACACTGCACCCCTTTCTGATAAGGGCTCCCATCCCATAGGCACTTGCCAGAGTGCTGAATGAGGCCAGGCACTTAACTACAACCAAACTGAACATATTATTCAACTGAGAAAAGGCATGAGTATTAATAACCTAAAAGACATTTAAGTCAAATTCTATGACTTCTTGCTTTTTAAATCAGATTCATAAGGCATGAAGAACAGCAACAAAGAAAGGAGGAAAGACGTACATCAAATGAAAATAACCAGTAATGCAGGCATGATTTTATCTTTAATTACTAATAAAGGAAAGGCACACACACTTTATGCTGAGTCCTTGCTTAGATCACTTCTCTTCCTGGTATGCCTTTTTCCCTCTAGCTATTTCATTCTACTCATCCTTCAAGATGCAAATCATACCACACTGCATGGACATGGGCATTCATCTTATTTTGTGAATGTTCCACTTCATTCTGATATACTAAAAATTATCTATACAATTCAACTTCCTACTCTTCTTAAGTAAACCTGACTTTCCAAGTAAAAATAATAGCAAATAGTTCCTCTGTCAAATTCCCTGAACACCTTTATAATTATCTTTGTAGCCCAAATGGAGATGTACTTTGAGAAGCCTAGGGACTCAATAAATGTGCACAGAACTGACTTCTTCCATAAAGTTGCCTGATCCTTCTAGTCCTTAAGGATCATCACCTCTTTTAATCTCGCAGAATACCCTGTTCTTCCCATGCAGATGGTAAACAAATGTGAGAACAGAGACAGTTATCTTATGCTTCTGTGTTCTCTACAATACCTAGCCTATACTTTGAACATTATCAGAGAGAGTATTAGGAGCACGAGTATTCATTATCAGGAACACTATCCTTGGGAAACTTGTCTAAATGTGATCCAACATGATTCCCTCCCCAAAATGATAAAATAGTAAAACAATCTGTAAGTACATATTTAACATAAGAAAAATCCAAAGAAGCATTTATTAATGACCCGAAGGAGATCAGTAACATGACCTATTTTATGACCTAATAGCCATAAACAGTCCTCTACATGACTGTGCTGCATTACACTTGTCATAAATGAAGACCAAAACATCTTCTGCTAAATAAACAGCATACCATTAGAAGTTCTTCCACAGTAATTTGCCCTAGGTTTCCAATTCTAATACACTGCATACTCAGTCTTCCAATGAAACAAAAGACAATGGCTTAAAATATAAAAATCACCTCCTTAAAAACTTCCAAAGTGAAAGGAATTAACCAGGTCAAAATTGAAGAGACAGTGGAGCCTGAGAGAGGTGAGCAGAAGACTAGAGAAGGGGTCAGTAAATGGGCCAAGTCCAGATGATGCCTGTATCACATAGCCCTGTTCACTGGTGTATGTATTGCCTATGGCTGCTTTGAGTAGTTTGGACAGAGATCGTAAGTCCCACAAAGTCTGAAATATTTACTATCTAGCACTTTACAGAAAGAGTTTACTAACCGCTGCACTAAAAGCATCAGAGCTAGTTTTGTCCTGAGGCCACTTGTCAATCTAGCTCCTGAGCCTCACTTCTAAAGGACTCACAGAACAAGAAGGAAAAAATCAAAGTCCAGGGACCATACAGGTAGGAGTCTATTAAGAAATTGCCTCCCCACACTGAATGGAGGTCCTAAAAGCCACACCTTCAGGGTAAGAATGAACTAGAAATTATCCTACAATTCCTTCCCTCTCCCCAAGTTTCTGTAGGAAAGGTTGCCCTGGCACTAAATGAATCAGGGAAAATAAAAAGAAAGGGGGAAAAAAAAGCCCTTGAGAACTTGAAATCACAGTGTCTGCTCTCACACATATTCGAAGCCCAGGTTAGCAGTGCCTCTTTGATGCTGAGAACCCTGAGTCATAAAATGAGTTTAAGGATCCTCAGAGTATTAAAGCCAATAGGGGCCAAACATAAACATATCCAAATCTGTTTAAAGGAAGACAACTTCATCTTAGACCTCAAAGTAGCTCTGCAAAAACTTTTCCAAACACCATGAAATCTACAATAAAAAAATAACCAAGCATAAAAGAAAAAAACCATAATGAATGAGAATCAAAGGAAAAAAAAATCAGTAAATAATTTTTAATCTTAAGAGCATAAAGCTGAGAATCAATGAGAAATTAGAGCAAATTAGATCAAAACCCACAGAAAGGCAATTATAGGTATAAGAGCAGAAATAAGTAGGGAAAAAACAATATAAAATTGAGAAGAAAAAGCCAAAAAAAAACAAAACAAAACAAAAAAAAATACCAAATAGACGACCTGGAGATTCACAGACCTGTACCCCTGGGGCTAATAATACATTATGTTAATAAAATAAATTTTTTTTAAAAAATTCTACATAAAACAACAACAACAAAAAACCAAATAAACGAACAAAGCTTTGTTGAGACTGATCAAAGGGAAAAGAAAACAGCACAAATAACCAGAAACAGAAAAGGAAATGAAGATAGCATCACAGATGATGTAAACAATAAAATGATATGAGGAATATATTATCAAATATTTTAAATAAATATCTTCGGAAATTTGGATGAAATGGACAGATTCTTGGAACACTGTTAAGATTACAACTGTCTCGAGGGGCACCTGGGTGGCTCAGTTGGTTGGGCGACTGCCTTTGGCTCGGGTCGTGATCCCGGAGTCCTGAGATTGAGTCCTGCATTGGGCTCCCGGCTCCATGGGGAGTCTGACCTTCTCCCCTGTCATGCTTTCTCACTCTCTCTCAAATAAATAAATAACATCTTTAAAAAAAAAAAAAAAAAAAGATTACAACTATCTCGAGAAACTACTCTCAATTGGCCTATAATCATTAAAGAAAATTAGTTATTAATTAAAAATCTCAGAAAACTCCAGACTGAGATGGTTTTATTAGTGAGTTCCACCAATCACTTCAGAGAAAAATAACTCTAATTTTGTATTCTTTATACAAAATGGTATTCAAGATTTCAAGGCTAATTAACCAATGAAAAGTCAGTTACTAAAATTCATCTTGTTAAAGGTTAAAGAAAATGTATAATCTTCTCTACAGAATGCAAAAACAAAAAATGTCTGGTAATATTTACTCATAATAATAAAAAAAACCTCTCACTAGTAATACAATGGAACTTCCTTATTCCAACTTTTTTTAAAAAAAGGAAGCAAGCATAATAAATGGTAAAAAATAAAGTTTTCCCTTTGCATCAGGACATGGCAAAGATACCCACTAATACCACTGATTATCCAACATAATACTGTAAGTCCTACCCAGTACAGTCGGGTTTTAAAAATGGAAGAAAGAAAAATTAAAACTGTCTTCAGCCATGATGAAGTAACCAGGACTACATTTATTCTCCCACTCTGAACAACTACAAACTTGATAAAATACACAAAAAAGTCTTTCAGACATCTGACAACAGGCAGTGTAAAATTGTGTTCATTGAGAAGGGAAATAAATGAGAAAAGCTTTATGATTCTCCCAGCTTACTGCCTGAAGACAAGTTTCCAGAGCACAGCACAAGAAAGCACAGAGCCCAGTGGACTCACTGAGTTGAAGAGACAGAAACAGAAGGTCAAGAAGGCCAAGGCAACTAGAACTGGTAGGTAAGGACACTGAATAGAAGGCCCTGCACCAACAAAAGTACTAATAATCTAGATAGACAGCAGTTTCCTCCAGTCCGTGGTGAAGCACTAAATCTGCACATACATGTGAGGAAAGAACCTCAGACCATGGATATTTCCTATGTTATAATCATGGTAGTAGTTAGAAAACTATGTATTTGTCAAAATTAACTGAGTTGTACACTTTAAAAAAAAACGCATTTTATTTATTCTGTGTAAATTATACATCAACAAAACTTTTTAAAAGAAACAGAAGAACTAAAAAAATATATAAATGTTACTATTTGTAGATTATACTATTATACGTACATAGAAAATCTACACAAATTTAGAGATGAATTTTTGGAATTAATCAGAGAATTTACAAAAGTCACTGTATGCAAAATCAATTATATTTCTAAACACCAAATAGAAAATGAAATATTTCTAAAAGATATCATCTATGAGAGCATCAAATATGCCAAATATCTAAGAATAAATTTAAGTAAAGATGTATAAGAGCTCTATATAGAAAACTATAAAAAATAAATTATGAAGATTTTTTAAGATTTTATTTATTTATTTGACAGAGATCACAAGTAGGCAGAGAGGCAGGCAGAGAGAGGAGGGAAGCAGGCTCCCCGCTGAGCAGAGAGTCCGATGCGGGGCTCGATCCCAGGACCCTGAGATCATGACCTGAGCTGAAGGCAGAGGCTTAACCCACTGAGCCACCCAGGTGCCCTGAAATTATGAAGATTTAAAGCAACTTGTCATAGGCCTTTGACTACCACTAATCTGCATCTTCTGGAAAGTCCACATAAATGTGCTGAAAGGCTCACGTTAAGTCACATAAAGGGAATCAATTATGCAAACTATTTCCCCTGTAAATCAAACTTTAGAAAATTAGAAATACACCTCTAACAATGAAAACATATGCATTTCAAAAAGAAAAAAGTTCTTGCTTAACCCCAACCTATTTCCCTGTTTCATATTTTGAATTTCATACACAATCTATAATCACTTTATAATACCATAGAAGAAAGAATGACATAATACAAATATAAATAATAATTTCAACTATCAAACTTTTCCTGCAATGCTTAATAGTGGACCTGGCTGATTTGCTTAGAATTTTACACACAGAAAAATTCATGCACCATGGATTTGGCCATTATATATTTGCCATTGTAGGTCTTACTTTTTTTTCCCTTCAACAAAGTAAGTCCTGCCTCAAAATTAGTACAAATCACTTATTATACACCAAACTGGAATATGAGGAAATAATTAAAACAATTTTTGCCCAAGTACACATTTTAATAATTTGAGTCAAATTATGCTAAAAAGAATTAAGACAACTGGGTAGAAAAATGTCAATTTGTTAAGAATAAAACATTGCTGATTTATTTAAAAAAATTAAAGTCTGGGAGGAAACGGTATGAATTTCCATAGTAGAAAACCAAATCATGCCTATTGAGAGAAGACAAATGTCTTGAAATAAGACAATTACAATAAGAAAACATGTACCTCTCTTCTTTGTTTATTTGGTCACCAAATCCCACTGTATTCACAATGGTCAATTTCAATTGAACATTACTTTCATGGAGTTCATATGTCTGAGCTTTAAGTTTAACATGTGGGTAAAAATGTGAGGATTCATGGTCTTCAAAATTAGTATTAAACAATGTGTCAATCAGAGTTGATTTTCCAATTCCAGTCTCCCCTGAAAGAAACAAAGGTACACTGTCACAGGTGTAGAGGACAAATGAGAAAAAAAAAAGAACTCTTAGACTGGTTTCAAGGATCCCAAATATTTCAAACATTCCAAAGACTGTGTTGTCTATGAAAGACATACAAGTTAAGGCTGGTCCACTGAGTCATTAGCAGAACATAAAAGTGAGTATATATGCTAAGTTACTCAGGACTCTGAAGAAAGCACTGAAATGTTTAAAGAACAAAAATGTTTAAAGCAGTACAGCAAAGAAAAAATTGATAGGATTTAAGTAACTGAAAAAATCTGCAATCATGATCTCAAATTAGTAACATGAGCATCATACTGCTTCCAAGAGTGAAGAGAACACAAGGAATATAAAGGAATAATTTAGAGGAAGAGCTTGCCACTTACCCACACAGAGAATATTAAAACAGAAGCCTTGCTGAATGGATCTATTGACCAGCTGATCGGGCAAACTCTCAAAACCAACATGGCCAGACATAGTTAAAGAACGAATATTTTCTTTTTTTTGCTGAAGGAAAACAAAGACAATAGCAATAATTTAAAACAACTAATTAAAATTGTTTTAAATTAAATTTAAAATTTTAATTATAATTCATTAAAGCAAAAAAACTTTTACTAAAATAGGATGCAGGCACATTTCAAAAGATAAATATAATTTACCAAAGAAACTAAAGATTTTATGATCATTAGACCTTCACCAAGATACAACCATATTAAGTAAATTTGTGAGAAACCTGATTCCAAACCCTGAAAACATATACGTTTCTTATTCTCTTCATACAATGAGAGTCCAGCATTACTTACAACATTCAAATACTTGATTTCCAAAAAATAGGAAATCATGTAAACTATGGCAGAGTCACTCACAAAATGGAATAAAGTTATTATAGGTGTTTATGTTAAGTATTTGGTAACTTAAATTTCACATTAAAATGTCACATGGGCTGCCTGGGTGGCTCAGTGGGTTAAACCTCTGCCTTCAGCTCAGGTCATGATCTCAGGGTCCTGGGATCGAGTGCCACATCGGGCTCTCTGCTAGGCAGGGAGCCTGCTTCCTCCTCGCTCTCTCGCTCTCTCTCTCTCCCTCTCTGCCTACTTGTGATTGCTCTCTGTCAAATAGATAAAATCTTTAAAAAAAAAAAAAAGTCACATGAAAAAACCACAATACATTATGCAGTTTTAGCTCCCAGTAATGGCAGAGTAACTTATGTCACCTGCTAATAACATTTATAATCTATTCTTCCAAGTCAGTGGAGTGCAACCAAAGTCCAATGGGCACTGGAGGGAATGAGACTCTTGGGAGTAGGAAACCATGTAAAGTGAGATGCACATTTTCTAGGTCTTTCTGAAGGCATACCCCAGTCACTGCTGCACAAAGAAGACAGACCTCAGGATGGGTTGAGAAGTTGGAAATAAGGGCAGGTGTATCAGCTGAAAATTGAAGAAGAAAATTATAAAAAGGAGGGAGTCCAAAATCTGCAAGTGCACTCCCCTCAAATCTCTGGTTGACTGCTGAACTGCACAAGTACAGGGGAAATACAAGGAGCCTAGCAAGGGGAAAATGGAAATTGGAAGGAGCTATGTAGAGTTTTCAAGAATGTCATCCCAGGGAGCTTGAAGTTTAACTCTGTAAATTAAAGAGGCTCAATAAACATTTCAGACTTTCCACTAAAAACCTGTATGTACCCTATTTTAGGAGTAAGGATCCCATCCCAGGAATCAGAAATGTTCCCTAGTACACAACTGAAATAGACCTGCCCTAACAAAGTATAAAACTAAGGCTCAACATGAACAATGCAACAAGCTAATAATTTACTGCCTGCTAGAACCAAGGTCAACACTCTTCAGAAGAAGAAATAAGAATCCAGCACCTCTACAATGTATCATCCGCACCATCTACTATACAATAAAAAATTACTATAGAGGAAGAAGCACAAAAATGTGACCCACAGTCAGGAGAAAAAAGTCAAAAGAAAGAGATCCACAAATGAACCAGATATTCAATCAGGTGATAAAAACTTTAAAAATTGACTATGACAAATATGCCGAAGAAGAAAAAAAATCCTCTTTTTCTACAGGAAAAGAAGATAGATATAATGGGTGGCGAGTTATAAGACAGATTTGAAAACTCTCAACAACAAAAGGCAACAAATGGGATTCCTAGAAGGAAAAATGCAACATCTAAAATAACCTACTGAACAGAATTAACAGCAGTTCAAACAATGGAAGGAAATATTTGTTCAATAGTTATATCCAAGTTAAATATCTTCATCAATCCAAGCTAAAAATATCTTATAGAAAAACTATAACTGTAATAGAGTCCAAAAAAACTGTGGGACAATATCAAATGGTCTTACATACCTGTAATTGGAATGCCATACAGAAAAGATGGGGAGAGACTGGGGGAGGGAAGGAAATATCCAAGTGATAGTGACTGAATTTTCTAAACATGAACTAAAACATGAACTAAAACCAATTTTCTAAACATGAACTAAGAGATCCAATTTAGCAAACTACAAACAGGAAAAAATCCAGAGAAACCCATAACTAGGCACATTAGAGCAAAATATTTCAAAACAAAGATAAACTTTATGAGCTACCAAATATGGGGAGACATATTACAGACAAGTGAAACATATAAAATGACTACAGGTTTCTCATAAACAACAATGCAAACCATAAGACAACAGAACATCAATAAAATGCCAAAAGAAACAAAAATGACAACCTAGAATTCCATAACCAATAAAAATATCGTTCACAAATGAAAGTCAAAGGAAGACATCTTCAGACCAAAAAAAAAAAATCTAAGAAAATTCACTAATAGCAGACCTAGACTATTAAGAAATGTTAAAAGTTATTCAAGAGAAAGGAAAATGACATCAGACCTATATAAAGAAATGAAAACTGCCAGAAAAGTAGAAATGTGGGTAATTGTAAGAGAATTTTTTTGTTAGTTTTAATTTCTTGAAAATATGATTGTTTAAAACAACAACAACAATGTATCACAGAGTTTGTAATCACAGAGAAGTAGAATGTATGATAGTGACAGCATAACAGATGGGAGAGGGAATGGAGAGCTACTGTTGTGAGGTTTCTATATTATACATGGACCATTATAATACTGTTTGAAGATATGTGTGATAAAGTAAAGCCTACACCAATTACTATTTTAAAGAAATAAAAGGCCAAAGAGATACAGACAGTAAGTCAATAGTAAAGATGAAATGCAATCATAAAAATAATCCAAAAGGCATAGAAGAAAGAAAAATGAAAGAACAAATGTGACAAAGAAAATAGCAGCAAACTGGCAGACTTAAACCTAGCCAAGTCTAAAATTAAATGTAAATGGTTTAAACCAGTGATATCCAACAGAACTTCCTATGATGGTAGAAGTGTTTTATATCTGAGCTGTGCAACAGGAATCCACCAGCCAGCCACAGGCAGATACTGAGCACTTCAAATGTGACTAATGCAACTGAGGAATTGATTTCTACATTTTATTAAACTGATTTAAATTTAAATAGCCACACATGGCTAGTGGCTACCATACTGGACAATGAATGTCTAAACATTTCAGGTTAAAAGAAGGAAATCATCAGACTGGATAAAAGAGTAAGACAACTCTATGACAATCTGGTTCTAAAATCTATATGGAAATGTAGGCAATTAGTAACAACTACAACAATTATGCAAAAGAACAAAGCTGAAGGACTTATACTACCTAATGATAAAGCTACAATCACCAGGAAGTATGATATTGTGACAACCTAATTATTTATCTATTTGTATGTTTCATCAAAATTAAAAACTTGTGGGGCGCCTGGGTGGCTCAGTGGGTTAAGCCTCTGCCTTCGGCTCAGGTCATGATCCCAGGGTCCTGGATCTAGCCCGGCATCGGGCTCTCTGCTCAGCAGGGGGCCTGCTCCGCCCCCCACCACCCCACCTGCCTCTCTGTCTACTTGTGATCTCTCTTTCTCTGTCAAATAAATAAATAAAATCTTTTTAAAAATTAAAATTAAAATTAAAAATTTTTTTTAAAAATTTAAAATTTGTGATCAGCAAGGAATATGTAAATCACAGATTGAAAGAAAATATTATATATTTGGCATATATACATGACAAAGCACTTATATTCAGAATATCTGAAGATTTCAAATGATTTAATAATAACAATCCACTTTTTAGAAAATGGGTAAAGACTCAAATAGAACTTCACAAAGACAGCCAAGCAAATGAAAGAGTGGTCAACAGTACCGGTTATCAAGGAAATGTGAATTAAAACTACAATAAGTTATCACTGAACACTCTCCAAAATGGCTAAATTTAAAAGCCTGATAATATCAAGTATTAGATATTATGAAGTGGAACTCTGATAAATTTGCTGGTGTGAAAGCAAAATGGTACAGGCACTTTGGATAACAGGTGGGCAGTTTCTTATAAAGTTAAAACATACTACTATACAACCAAAAAACTCCACCTGTTGGTACCCAAGGTAAATAAAAATACACATGAATGTTCTTGGCAGCTTTAGTCCAAATAGTCAAAAACCAGAAAGAACCCAATACCCAACAATCGATGAAGAGAGAAATAAAATGTAGTATATCCATACAATGGAATACCAAACTACTGATATATGCCACAATATGCCTAAGTCTCAAAAATTAAGTGATTTATTTACTGTGATTTGACTAAAAAAGTATTTTTTTCATATATTCTCATATATATGAATATGGATAAAAATCTTTCAAAGGGTAGCGACAGACTATGGAGAGTGGTTATTACTGGGGAATGGACTTGGAAGTTGAGAGAGTGTTCTGGGAGGTACAGGTGAGAAAGATTCACTTTTAACACTGTACGGTGGATAAAATTCTAACATGGACCCCATGACGGATGGCCCCTTCTATTTTTTTCAATCAAACACTAATCTACATGATGTTATGAATTTTGTAGGTGTAATTTTTGTAGGTGTAATTAAGGTTACAAAATCAGTTAACCTGAGAAAGGGAGATTACCCTGGGTGGGGCTGACCTAATCAGGTGAGCCCTTAAAAAGGACCAGGAGCTTCCAGGTGAAAGAGATTTGAAACCTTAAGGGGATTTGATAGTTGGGTTCTCCCCTCTTGTATGGATGACAGAGAGCAATTTGTTATGGGGCAACAGAAAACTAGTATACTATATTCTCTTTTCTACCCTTTGAATCCCTTTTAGTCACATTTGTTGAGAGAGAAGAAATACTATGCTTCCTAGTCATGAAAGTGTTCAAGAAGATTAGAGTAATACTTGTTAGAGTTTTTACGTGATAAACACATACTTATCAGATAAAAGTTGAATTAAATGACCTATAGAATTCCTTCCTGTTCTAAAGTTATAAGATTTTAGGGTCATGTTAACAGAAGCTTTCCAAAAAAAATGTGGTGGTGGTCACCACAATTTAGTGAAGAGGGGCCAGAGAAAATGACGATTAAGCAATGACTACTCAGTGGATTAGTCACTAAAGTATTACTAGTGACTGTGACAGTAGTTTCAGCAGAGCAAGGTGTTAGAAAGCAGATAAAGAGTAATTCCAAAGGTCTGCCAGGTGATAAAGATGGGGCAGACTACTATTACCAAAGAGAGAAAAAAGATAAAAAGAACAGTAGTTTGGCAGTCAAACTACAATTTACCAAAACTGTGGGGCCTTTGGGGCGCCTGTGTGGCTCAGTGGGTTAAGCCTCTGCCTTCGGCTCAGGTCATGATCTCAGGGTCCTGGGATCAAGTCCCGCATTGGGCTCTCTGCTCAGCGGGGAGTCTGCTTCCCACTCATCTCTGCCTGCCTCTCTGCCTACTTGTGATCTCTCTGTCAAATAAATAAATAAAATCTTAAAAAAACACACACACACAAAACTGTGGGGCCTTTAGCATGTGTGAAGGAAGAGGGGAAAACAAGAAGAGGCTTAATGGGCACAGAACTAAGAAAATAATTTAATCTTACTGAATTATCCAAGCTAGTATTTGTGATTTTCGTTTTTTTTTTTTTAAAGATTTTATTTATTTATTTGACAGAGAGAGTGAGACAGCACAAGCAGGGGGAACAGCAGAGGAAGAGAAAGAAGCAGGCTCTCCGGTGAGCAGGGAGCCCAATGCGGGGGATCACAACCAGAGCCAAAGGCAGATGCTTAACCTGTTTTTGCAATTTTCTGTTTAAAGAATCATCAACTCACCTTCACCAAGTTAAATTTACCTCTCTTTTTAAATATAAATTTTAATATGAATTACCAAAACACACCCCTCCTATGCAGGGACACTTAGAAGAACCTTTAAGGGCTGATCTGGCACTCAGGCAAGCCATCTGACAGGGCCATCCAGTGAATTCCTACATTCTGTTATTAAAGGAGTTCTCTCCAAACACCAAGTTCTGCAAGTACGCCCCATTAAAGCAGTGCTAGTCTTCCTACTGAATGCGGTGGAAGCAGCCAGAGTTTTAATTTGCTTCATGTCCCTTAGGAAAGAGACACTGAAAACACTCAACAATTATTTAAACTGATTTTTAATTTCAATCAACACAGAAGTTAATTTATATTCAAGGTACAAACAAAAGTCTGTCAGGTCTCTGAGTAGTTATTTTGAAAACCTAGAGGTGTGCAGAGTACAATATGGATCTATTTAAAAGATATACTCACTTTCTGTTCATCATCAGATACTTGTGAGGACAGACAGGTTGTTTTTGTTGGCATGTGAGACTGAAAGAGCTGAAAAAGAAAAAAAATTAAAATAGATATTAGTTCAAAAAACCTTGTATCTAAATAATATATCTATGTTAAGAAGGAATTGTAATATTATCATTATCATCAAGTTTTGACTTGCAATCTATACAACTGACTCATACTTAAAACCATGATTTTCTTACTGCATAAATACATGCAAAAGTAAATAATATATAATAGTCAACATATACATCAACATACTTACCCAAACATGCAAAAATACTGTAGAAGAGTAAACTCCCATTTATAACCAGGAAGACAAAGAACATTACTTTTATTTAAAAGACTTAATAGTGGGGTGCCTGTGTGGCTCAGTTGGTTAAGCCTCTGCCTTCAGCTCAGGTCATGATCCCAGAGTCCTGGGATCAAGTCCCACATCGGGCTCTCTGCTCAGCAGGGAGCCAGCTTCCCCCCACCCCACCCCCGTCTGTCTCTCTGCCTACTTGTGATCTCTCTGTCAAATAAATAAATAAAATCTTAAAAAAAAAAAAAAAAGACTTAATAGTGGAACCAGAAAATACCCTGGATAGCCAAAGAAATGTTGGGGCGGCGGAGGGGGTAGGATACTGAAGCTGGAGTCATCACAGTTCCAGATTTCAAGCTGCGGCGGAGGGGGTAGGATACTGAAGCTGGAGTCATCACAGTTCCAGATTTCAAGCTGTATTACAAAGCTATGATCATCAAGACAGTATGGTTCTGGCATAAAAACAGACACACAGATCAGTGGAACAGAACAGAGAACCCAGAAATGGACCCTCAACTCTGTGGTGAACTAATCTTCGACAAGGCAGTAAAGAATATCCAAACGGTCTTGGGAAAACTGGACCATGACACACAAAGAATGAAACTAGACCACTTTCTTACAACATACATAAAAATAAACTCAAAGTGAATAAGAACCCAATTGTGAGACACAAATCCATCAAAATTCTAGAAGAGGGGGGAGACAAGATGGCGGGGAAGTAGGAGGAGGTGCCATTTCAACCTGCCCTAATGTGAGCTTATTACCTACCAAAGAAGTCTGATCACCCATGAAATCAGCCTGAGATTAGAATTATATACTTCTGGATCTCTATGGGGGCAAAAGACACCAGTGGGCAGGTAAAGCGCAGTGGGAACATCGGACTGACATCGGAAGATAAACAAAAGGGGGAGGGAGCCACCAGAAGCCACCCATTGGAAAGTAATACACCAATACGAGAATGCTCTGTGATTGGGGACCAGCATTAACTTCGAGTATGGTTGAAAGCACTCAAAAAGAGCAAAGGATCATTGGGGGAAAATTGTGGGAATCGGGACAGTTAGGGACAGGGGCTTAAGTCCCCCAGACCCAGGAAAGTCATTGCTGGCACTGAGCCAGAGACAGTGTGGCAAAGAAGCCAGGTCTTCGTCCCTGAGCCACCATCATGCCTGAGAGCACCTGGGTGGCAGCACCCGCGAGGGTGAGAGAGCCTCAACAGCGGGCAGAAACACAGCCCTTTGCACTCTCCACTCGCAAGCCACGCAACCAGAGTCGGAGTTGGGCCCCACACCCTCCCCTGAGAGGTGTGTGCAGATGCCAGCCTGCACAACCACAGACTTTTTGCACTCCCCATGCGCGTGCCCTGTGACCAGAGTCTGAGTTGTGCCCCACAGCCTCCCCTGAGAGAGCTGCGTGCAGGCACCAGCCCACGCTCTCTCCAACTCGGAGAGTCTGAGCACTCCCAGCCCAGGCCGGCGGGAAAACCTCAGTGTGCTCTCTCTGCTTGGGATTTCTATGGCGGTCCGGCCCTGCCCAGACAGCCGCAGTTAGTATTTCTCATGGTTTTAGGTACAAGCGGGAGTTCCTGTGACCCCAGAGACCGTGACTGGGAACATGCTCTGCTAATGGCAGAGGGGGAATTTATGTGCTCTGGAACACCCAGAGGGGAACAGACTGAGGCTTCTCTCTGAGAGGAAGGTCTGGGTGCAGTTTGTTTCCTCTAAACCTCCAAAAACCATCAAAAGCTGCCAAGGGGAGAGAAAACAAATGAACAAACCACCAAAAATCCTCCAGAGAACAAAAGCCTGAAAAAGTGGTTTCCTCAGAGCCCACCACCTTGATGGGGGCAGGAGGACATAACTCCAGCAAGATTCTCTGAAAAACCACGCAGCAGGCCCCTCCCCCAAAAAGCCAACCAAAAAAAAAAAAAAAAAAAAAAAAAGACAAGAGGACAACCACCACTAACCTATTTACCATCACAGTGAGCTGTCCACTATATCAAATTCCATAATAACCTTTTCACCTGAACTTTTTGATACATATACCTGTGTTTTTCTTTTACTTTTCTATTTTTTAATTTAATTTTATTTGTTTATTCTTTTTTTTTTTTAATATTCCTATAGACTTAAGCTTCAAGCTAATCCCCTTTCCCCAATCAATGCTACCCTTATAGGTAAACCAGTTTCTAATCTCCCTTTATCTTAGGAAAGTTGAGTCCTTTAACAAAGATATCAAAATACATCCAGGAAGAATCAAAATAACCTTCTTCGCCCACATTGAGAATTTATAATCACTCTCCCATCTTTTCTTCTGCCAGTGTTTCTGTGTATTTGCTTTTATCCTGGTAGTATATAAATCTTACACTTGAGGTTCTTTTTGATGAGCTTCTTTTTTTTGTTTGTTTTTATTTATTTTTCTCTTGTCATCTACTTTTGTCAGTCTTTTTCTTTGTCTGTTTTTGTTTCTATATTTCATAAATCTTACCTTGGGGCCCATTTGGGCTGGGCATTCTCTTTTATTTTATCTTTCTTTTTTTCCCTGTCTCTCTCTCTTTTTTTCTTTTTTCTTTCTTTTGGGTGGGGACTCTTGATTGCTCAGAAGCGTTCCAGGGTGCACCTTGCCTGCACCACGGTCGATACATTCAGCTACACATCCATTCAGCCATCTCTCACCAAAATGACTAGAACGAAGAATGCCCAACAGAAGAAAAGTACAGAGACTGGGCCTTCTGCAACAGAGCTATTAGATATGGACATAGACAGTATGTCGGAAAGGGAATTCAGGCTAACAATTATCCAGGCAATAGCTAGGTTGGAGAAAGCCTTTGATGACAAAATGGAATTGATTAGAGCAGAACTGAAAGCCACCAGGGATGATGTTCACAATGTTCTCAATGAGTTCCAATCTAATCTAAATTCTCTAAAAGCCAGGGTAACTGAGTCAAAAGACAGAATTAGTGATCTGGAGGACAAACATATAGAGAAAAAGGATCAGGAGGAAGCCTGGAATAAACAACTTAGAGCCATGAAAACAGAATTAGGGAAATAAATGACGTCATGAAACATTCCAACATCAGAATTATTGGAATCCCTGAGGGGGAGGAGAAAGAAAAAAGACTAGAAGATATAGTTGAACAAATTCTCCACGAAAATTTTCCCAATCTTGCGAATGGAACCAGCATTCATGTACTAAAGGTAGAAAGGTCTGTCCCCAAGACCACAGAATCTAGAAAGACCTCAAGACACCTGATAGTGAAAATGATGAATCATAATTGTAAATAGGAGCTCTTGAAAGCAACGAGGTACTTTCCTCCTTAGGTACGGAGGAAAGCCCATCAATATAACATCAGACCTGTCCACAGGAAGCTGGCAAGCCAGAAAGGGCTGGCAAGACGTATTCAGGGCACTAAATGAGAAGAACATGCAGCCAAGAATACTTTATCCAGCAAGACTGACATTCAAAATGGATGGAGAGATAAAGAGTTTCCAAGACCGGAAAGGTTTAAAGGAATATGCGACCACCAAGCCGACACTGCAGGAAATATTAAGGGAGGTTCTATAAAAGAGGAAAAATCCTCAGAATACTATTTAACAGAAATATATGGAGACAATCTATAGAAACAAAGACTTCACCGATAACACGATGTCAATAAAAATGTATCTCTCAATAATCACTCTCAACGTGAATGGCCTAAATGCGCTCATAAAATGACACAGGGTTGCAGATGGCATAAAACAACAGGACCCATCCATATATTGTCTATAAGAGATCCATTTCGAACCTAAGGATACACCCAGACTGAAAGTGAAGGGATGGAGAAGCCTCTTTCATGCCAATGGGCCTCGAAAGAAGGTTGGGGTAGCGATTCTCATATCAGACAAATTAGATTTTAAACTAAAGACTGTAGTCAGAGATACAGAAGGACACTACATCATTCTTAAAGGGACTATCCACCAAGAAGATCTAACAATTGTAAATATTTATGCCCCCAATATGGGAGCAGCCAATTACATAAGAAAACTGTAAATCAAGATAAAGAGTCACATTGATATGAATACAGTAAAATAGTAAGAGATCTTACATGCCACTCTCAGTAATAGATCATCAAGCAGAAAATCAATAAAGAAACAAGAGTGTTGAATGACACATTGGACCAGATGGACCTCACAGATAGGTATAGAACATTCCATCCTAAAACAACAGAATACTCATTATTCTCGAGTGCACATGGAACCTTCTCCAGAACAGACGACCTACTGGGTCACAAATCAGGACTCAACCGATACCAAAAGACTTAAGATTATTCCCTGCATATTCTCAGATCGCAATGCTTTGAAACTGGAGCTCAATTACAAGGAAAAGTTTGGAAGGAACTCAAACACCTGGAACCTAAAGACAATCTTACTTAAGAATGCTGGGATCAACCAGGAGATCAAAAGAGAACTTAAACAATTCATGGAAACCAATGAGAATGAAGACACTTCGGTCCAAAACCTATGGGATGCAGCAAAGGCGGTCCTAAGGGGGAAATACGTAGCCATCCAAGCCTCCCTCCAAAAAATGGAAACATCCAGAATACACCAGCTGTCTCTACACCTTAAGAACTGGAGAATCAACAAAAAATTAAGCCAACTCCACACACAAGCAGGGAAATAATCAAGATTAGAGCAGAGATCAATGAGATAGAAACTAGAGATATAGTAGTACGCATCAATGAAACTAGACGCTGGTTTTATGAAAGAAT